GCGGTTCCTGCATTGCGACACGGTAGAATTAAAACGTTTTTATTTTTACGTAACGTAGGCACTGTTTCGCTTTTATCCTTAAAGGGTAAGTACGATTCAGCCTAAAGCTGCGAGGCTGGCTCTGAAAATGTTTATTCATTTAGGAATTATTATCAAGGAGAGTTATCTACATGTAATATGTTTTTGTTAAGAGATTTTTAGTAAGAAATAACAAGACTAACTGTATAGGGCGAATCGCCTTGTAAATCTATGGAACAGGACGATATAGTGAAAGCATAAAATGATATGAAAATGCAATCCAAAAAAAAACAATTAATGTGACAAACAAAAACAATTCCACATTTTGTCATTAAAATGACGCAACTAAACTTAATTGACTAGATACTGGAACTTTAGACTTAACGAAATTCGCTACATATTTAAAATCTGATTTAGAATATTTATTACAAGCATACCAGTACAAATACAGCTCACGAACACAAGACAAACAGAAAAGAAGATTTAAAACACGGACGTTGGCGTCGGTGCATCACATGATAAAAAATATAAAGGTGAACTCCAAGCGAATTGAACTTTTGTTTTAGTCTTACAAAGGATGTCATGCTTGTACAGTCAATAAAACAAAAATGAGAAGTATGGCTGAGCACTCATTGAGTTTGCCGTTAATTTTCCCCTGATATTCCTTTCTGGAAAACACGTAGAATTTGTACATAGCGGACGGACGTACGCATTAGTCTCTGATAATTCAAATTTAGTATCATCTTCAAATAGTTTTCTTCGTCTGGATATGATGTTGTATTGCCATTACATTGTTCACACATTCTATGTAAAGATTGAAATCTTTCGATGAAATTTGTAGCTTGTTCTTCTTGATACAAAACTATACATTGGAACGAGAACCTAGCGTCAAGCGTACAAACTGACGGACAATAAATTTTGACGTTTCAAAAGTGCCTATTTAAAGATTAATTGAAATAAATGAAGGTACACAAAATAATGATCTGACTATATATTTTTTAATTCTAAAATATTTATGCTAAAATATATTCTACACCCAGATAAAACCTCACTCTGTATTTCTGTAATCACTTGCATTGAAAACATACGTGCATTGGCTCAAACAAAATTTCAAATTCAGAATATATTCACTGACGCGGCTGTCTGGCCACAAGTTTTTAATACGACCAAATAGCATGGGTATATGGAGTTGTGTATGTGTGTGTAATGTAGGGTTGCAACTAAAAATTTCTCATAAATTAGAATATGACCGCTAGATAGTGGTAATATTTTGCAGTAATTACTGTAAAATAATGTAAAGAAAGTTTTCATTTTGGCAGAAGAAGTTTAATTTTCATATCGATTACAGTTCAAAATCGTATGATGTGTATTTTTGTCACATTGTCCCTAATACATCAATTTTATCATTTTAATATTTTATTAATGATAACTTTCCGATATTCGGACTGCTGCAAGAAAGTCACGAAAAACCTTCGTGAAGACGATTAAAGAAAAATTATAAACCCCGTCACAAGTTGAAATTAAGATATGTACACTCCATACATAAAGAACCAACCCTTATCACTACACTTTAAAAACACCTATCCACATTATACTACAAGACTTACTGTATACATACCTATAGACATCATATATAACCGTGGTCATATCCAAACGTTAGGGTGTTACCGTTGTTTGAGGAGCGGCGCGACCGCGGGAGCTTGCAATCAGCTAACCAGATCAGTCGGGAGCAAACACAATTGATAGCAACCAGCCAGCCAACCTCATACGCACCTATGTGCTAATGCGGTCTTCTCGCTTTTTGTCTACTTATTCGGTATTTTGTACTATCGAGTATGGTTTATTTTGGTCTACTTTGTTTGTAATTTGGTGGTAAGTACTTTTTATGGAATAGGAGGCAAACGAGCAGACGGATCATCTGATGGTTTTTTTTTTTTTTGAGGGGGGAAAATCATCGAATGACTGCTCCCGCCTGGGTGAGGCGGAAGGGAGTGTCAGACTCTTACTGACTAAAAACCACCCCGTTCCTTCTCCTGCACGTCGAGCCGGAGCCCCGGTTACCCGTTAGGTTCTCCGCGACTCCGAATCGGCATCGGCCCTACTGGGCCCCATCTGTGGTGGTCTAATGGCTCTTTGAGGCGCGCGCGGAACGCGACGCGCCGTACGCTCGGATCATCTGATGGTAAGGTGGTACTTACCTACATTCAGTACGTGTATCTCTCCCTTTTTTAAATTTTAAAATGTCCTATGTCATCTGAAGTATGAAGAGATATTTTACACATACTGACACCGCATTATTTTTTCAGCACACACAATAAAGTCGAAACGAAGTCAAAGAAAATGTACTCGATATACCTTCAAACCTTCAAGAAAAGAGCGTATTCCTTTTTAAAGGCCGGCAACGCACCTGTGACTCCTCTGGTATTGCGGGTGTCCATGGGCGGCGCTGATCTTTTACCATCAGGTCATCCGTCTACTCGTTTGCCTCCTATTCTATAAAAAAATATCAATTTTAAATTCTTGCATTACTACAGAGGTAGCTAACAAGCGTGGGATACTGATGGAATGCAATCACCACATAAACGGCCAACCAATAATAAGTGGCCACTGCTAACCAAAGGCCTCTTCTCACACGGAGAAGTTTGAAGCATTAATCACCACGCTGGTTCATTGTGGGTTGGCGATTTCAAACTTACAACACCGTTTCTCAGTGGTATCTAAATATTATTACAAAGTACATATAACTTGGAAAATACACATTGGTACTTGCCGGTGGTAGGTTTCAAACCTGTGACCGTGCATGAGAAGCGTGCGTCTTAAACCTCCGAGGCATCACCTCTGTTATTACATAAACATAGGTATATATCGTGACAATCCACTGTTAAATTGAATAATTAAGTAATTCTGACATAACATAACATAACATCACGCCTTTTTATACCCGAAGGGGTAGGCAGAAGTGCACACAGAAGTAACACCCACTTTTCACTATTTATGTTATGAGTCCCATGTAATAGCGGATGAGCTTATTGTCATATACCGGACACATTTCCTGACTCTGTGCTACTACTGAGGTTTTGTTTAAAAAAAAACTAGTAATACTTTGCCCGACCCGGGAATCGAACCCCAGACCCCTTGCCCGGCAGTCGCAATTGCGAGCACTCGGCGAGCGAGGCAGTCAGTTAAGTAATTCTGATTGTGTTATTAATTGCCTTTATTTCTCGTTGATTTTAAGTTTTTAATACTTTTTAGTTTTTAATATTTAATTTTTCCGTGATTACTAATTCTACTAGTAATTTTAAATGTCGCTCGATGGTTGTACTTTTGCTGGTGTCTGATCATAATAATTTGTAAACCATTGAGTATAGGTAAATAATGCATGCTGTGCTTACCTGTAGTAGATTGATGCACTAGTATTTAAGTTATCGTAAATGTAACCCTACATTGTATCAGTGTAATCAATTGTTGCTGAGCCAAATTAATAAAATAAATAAAAATAAACTTTGGACCGTCCTAATCATAAACTGTCTGTCTGTCCCTATGTTTACTTAGATCTTTAAACTACGCAACGGAAATCCGCATCAAAATTGATGCGGTTTTTTTAATAGATAGAGTAATTATTCAGGAAGGTTTATAATACATGTAATACACGCATAATATAGTAGAGAAACACTAATAAATTCAGAGGTTTCTAATTGCATCCGTGCGAAGCCGGGGCGGGTCGCTAGTATTAGAATACAGCGTTGGCCATAACCTTCACGCATGACAGTTGGGTTAGTAATCGCAGTTTAAAATGTCCTATTAAAAAGCACTGGTGGGTCCAGTCACCGGTAAATGTGCTCCGGTTCTAACGACACCCATGTGAGGAGTAGTACGTATTGATGATAAATGTATTTTACACTACCGTCACCAAAAAGCTTGACATATTTAATCGCCTGTGATTAACCTCGAGCTCTATATATGTTGTGTTACATTAATAATTTTATTAATAACCATGATCATCTCTTTACAAGGCAAATCTTCCCAAGAAATATTATTGCTTTTCCAGTTAAGATGATAATGAAACTGAATTATGAAAAGATAATGCAATTAAGGAAACTGTGTTAAGTATGGTGTAAATATAAATATGTGTTTTACCTATACATGTATACAAGAAAATAAGTAAAATAGTTCGGCCTAGCTAGATGTAGTAACGACATCAAGCAATAGTTGGATGCGAAGAGGTAAAGATAGAACTCAATGACATTAAAAAGGTCTTTATCCCACAATGTACCTACTTATACAAGTTGAATATAAAGTATTTTATAAGAGAATAATAATACTGATCAGATTCATCCTGTTTCTCTGCATCGGTATATTCTGTTTATGCACATCACGGTAAACAGTATTCACATATGCCAAACACATTGTGCGTGCGTTCATTTGTTTTTCAAACTAAGGAAGGTGAACGATTTGTTTCAGGTCGATAATCACAAGGGTTCTGCCATTTTTAGCAATAAAAATCAATGTTAATTTCTCAGATTTTCATTTATCATGTTATCTCTAGATACATATATACATTTCGGTTATACATTGCCTAGTGGCAGAAGTTTATTGTACATTTCGTTCGTTTAATAAATACCCTTTTACAATATTTACAACTATACATTTGTCTTTCTAAACATTAAAATAATCAGTCATTTCTCGAAGAATATTAAAATTTCAATTATACATTTACAAATGAATTTACATTTATAAGTATTTACGAGATAATTATATAGATAAGCTTGAACACATCTGCAATAAAATTAACAAATAATCTATCAACATTTACTTCATACTCGGCTATACTAACATCTAGAAATCTAAATAAATCTAACAATAAATATCTGATATAAATCAAAGGATTTTTAATACCTATGTATGTACAAGCTCATTGGTTTATCACATTTCAACAAATCCATCTTCACGACAGATATTAAACTAACACTAGCACTACTGGATCAATACGGACGCCATACTGATTTATGTGTCGGTATCGTGCCGTTTGAGATCTTAGTGGATGTAGGACTAGAAGAAAGAACTCGTGCGCTGCGCTGCGAAGGTGCTTTCAGTTCATTACGGACGCGTGGTCTGTCCGCCACCGTAGAGTCGGCTGCCTGCACTCTCTTCATCTCCTGCAGCTCAACATTCGCTGGTCGTGTGGGATGGAAAGCTGACTTCACTACTTCAATAGGTTCTTCATCAGATTCGTCAGTGATCGTCGCGTCATGCATCGAATTGACCTCCGATTTTGAATCAGCTTTAGATCTGTCGGGGCTAGCATTGGCAATGCTTCTTGGGCTTCCACTTTGTCTACTGCTTGTTGGAGAAAGTCTAGCACTCGATGTATCCATTGAAGAGACGTTGCTTTGTAAGTGTCTCAACGCTTCGTAAGGACTGATGCTACTCTTTAGTGATAATTCGGGTGGTAAGGACTTCATTGCTAGGTCTGCTGGATGTGGTCCGAACGGAAGGAGACCATTTGGTGGTAGAAAAGCACCAGGAGGTGGTATTAAGCCTCCTGTTGGCAAGTTAGCCATCGCTGGCGCGAAGGGGAAGAGTTCTGCTCCTGGTAACGTCACGGGGGGTGTTGTTATTGCGCCTGGGCCACCTGTTGACAATAAAAATGAATGTTTAGTACGGTGCCGTATAAAACAAGATTTTTACTTGATGTAAAGCTGCAAATGGTAAAAATATTGAAATACATGAAGCTACCGTTGGTAGATTTGCTAACATGACGTAATATGAGAGACGAGCCCCTGGGGATGGCCCGCGGCGCTCGGGCACTCCGTCTATTCCCCGAACAACGGGGGTGCATAATCGTACTAAGGATAATGTACAATCTGTAGGCGTTTAAAGGCGGCATCACCGAAAGGGATGTTTTTTTAGTGCGATATCGGGAGGGTGAGGGTGTGCAATATTTATTTATCTGAACACGACGTAGTTCTTTGCAACACAGACACGGCATTTCGTAATTCGGTACGATACGGCTCATGCTACGACAGAGTATCTGTCGGCACATTATTGATGCAGGGCACGTGTGTAGGTGTTGCAGCGGACACGTGTGCACTCCACAAAGCCGAGAGCATCGCGATAAGGAAGTACAGGTATCTACGAACGCGCCGGACAAAGAGAACTCGAAATGTGAAATTTTCATTAGCAGCTGTGTTCAAAAAGTTCTTCCCGGGGAAGCTTTGATTCTCGATAGCGTGTAAGAGAAGCTGGCGCATAAAAAGGACACGACGGAGGCGCAGATTGGGCCACAAAGAGCTCGGAGGTGGTGCTACGTACGTTTCTCTTTTGTACTTTTTCTGTTTGCAGCAGTGGCAGTGCGCAGACCACTTTAAAAGGCAACGGGGGTGGAAGGGGACGTAACTAGGGGGTAATTTGGCGAGGTGGGGGCCAATATCGGCGTCGCGCCTGATTGAGGTGATTCCCGATCGTTGAATTTGATTCTGTTTTGCTTTGCCCGTTATTTTTAATTAGCATTTATTGGGTTAACCGGTCCCCAGCGCACAAAGCATTGTTTGAGTAGTATCCGCGAGCATGGACGAATTGTACTCTTAATTCTTGTAATGTAATATCTCTGTGCGCTCGATACGCTTCGCTAGAAAGGTACATAATCTGAAGTCTTTTGCTTTATTTCCATCATATCCTGATGAAAAAAGTGCAAATCAATTACACATTTCCAAAGTACGTCTCGCGTTTGTGAGCGTGCTGCTACGTAGGTTTAATAAAAGTCTGTAGGTGTTTGAGTACATTGCTCCTCGCGTTTCAGCGTCGGAAACAAAAAGTGGCTGGTGGCGCGGTCGCCTACATTGGAATAAAATTGACTCCACACTCTCTCGAACGTGAAGGCAGTGCTTTTTTGTACGTTTAGTAGCACCCCCCACTTTCCCCCGTGGTGCGGACTTCAGCGGGTGGTTTTGCTTCGGTCGGGCCGGTGTTGTTTTGCAGAGTTCAAGAGTTGCTTCTTTTATTTGAGCCGCTTTTGCGTTGTACGGCCTTGAGGGGCGGTACTGTTCCGAGCAACATGTTTTTGAGTGCTGTTTGCTAAATCGGGAATTTTTAAATTAACAAATACCGTTATTGTGCACCGATCGGAAGTTCAAGAGCTAGTCGGATTATACTGATTTTGTAATACGATTCTCTTGTTCACGGAGTTTTTAATCTTTTTGCATTTCTCTCAGATTAATGGTATCTATGAAACTAAAACACGTTTCCAAACGGTATGAAACAATTTCGAATAACGAATAGGTAGTCAAAAAATACGATACCTTTTACGAGCGAGGCGGTCTGGTCTCGTATTTGCGGCGGCCTGAAGTAGTCAGCCCACGCATAGTTGAGGTACGCCGCATCCAGCCAGCCGGGGTTCAATAGAAACGGGCTGAATGCACCCGGGTGACCGTAGCCATAATCTGCAACAAAGAAACAAAAATATGAATTATTGTTTTGAAGACAACAAACCAACATGTGAAGATGGGTTTTGGTTTGGTTTGTTTCTGATTTCGTGTAATTCGCTACTTTACTTGGTAAACACATTTTATGTCTGGTCAAATAAAATTATTGGGGGCTACAACCGGAACCCGCAGTTGCCGCCAAATGGGATTGTCAGCCATAGAGATCGGAGGGATGGCTTATTAAGTAGATATTGACGTGGGGAGGTCACTAACGTCTTGAGCCACGTCCGCAAGCACTAAAGTCACAAAGGGTAGCCGTAAAGGCGGCGACACACGGGCCGCGCTCTGTTTACCGCCCGACGACTATAACAAGGGCTCTGTATACAAAACGAGCCAGTTTACTACTGCAGTTAGCCGGCTCCTCTGTGCCATACGTTTTTACGACCCTCCAACGTCACGTTGCCTTTCGCCTTTCATAGCGAAACGTTTTTTTTTATTTGTTTAATCGATACACTACTGAAGACAGCGACCATCGTCTATTTTAGACAGTTTTATTACATTTTTAATCCAATCTAGAGACGTCCCAATTGATGCGATCAGGTGTAACGCTTTTATTACCGGATTAAACTGTTTACGAGCACTTTGTCTACTTTGTTTTGAACTTTGTATACGCGGTGCTTCTTAGCGACTCTTTATACGAAGTTTGTTGTTGCGAGTTTTGTTTAAGTAGCCTAATTATATCGTTACCTAAACAGTGCAATGGATGGTGCAGACTTTTTAACGTAAGTGAGCAGATGAAGGTTTATAGGTTTATCGCGCACTAAAATGTTTACGAAACAATTAGTTGAGTTGTGTGAAGCGTACCCCTTTCTGCGGGGAGATTAGCGAGTGTTCCGTGAGAGCGTTTCCCAGATCGCGGGCATTTTAAATTAAGAACTTGATGGATGGCCCGTCGCGCTGTCACGCGCCAATCCGGGGCTGAGGAGCGTCGAGCTCCGACATCATGGAACAATAATAAGTTAAATGTGGAACTCGGAAACGGGCCGCTCCATTTGTTAATGCCAGTATTCAATTAAATTCAGTTCCCCGACCCTTTGCATATGCGGGGCTCTGAATATTAACGCGGTAAAGAGAGCATTTCTAATGTTGAGAAGTGGTATATGATTACTGAGTGCTTGAATTAATATTAACTCGGGTAAGTGGGGACGTTAACCGACACAGACTTTGTTCTGAGTAAATTCTAAGCTTATTACAGCGACATTTCAGAAGGCACGACTTTTTCAGCTGTGATTGTTTACCATTTCGGTGTACCTACTCCTTTATTTTGTTTATACTGAAACTTGCAATTCGGTGAAAACTAAAATATACTTCGTAAAACTTTTCTTGAAATCCGACAACACTTTTCAAATCAAACTAAAATACTGCACTCACACCGTGAAAGTGTTAAATCTATAAAGTTATTTCTGCGTCCGTTAATCACCAGCGACCTAAAAATGTACAATGGTTAAGAATGTGGCCCGGATCAAAACGCGTCGCGGCCGAATCCGTACCACTCCGGACAATAAACGGACCGTACGACATATAAGTGTCAGAATGAGCGTTAAATATCTCGACAAGATGAGATGCGAGTGGCGTGTCACTCGTAAATTAATGTTAAGGAGTCTCCTGAATAAATGGAATCAGAGTTATGGCTCATAATTCGGAGGGTGGCGACGGTGCCCCATAACTAACACCGCATTTATATACGTCTTCGTTTAATTGTCTGTGTTTATGGCGATTTACTGCTATCAGTTGATGATCTGAATAAGGAACTGTTGAACAATACATGCCATTTTGTATTTAAGAAGTAAAGAGTATCTTAATATTGAGTGTAGATACTTAAGACTCACAATACCAGTCTAAAGACTCAAGAAGGACGTTTAGAAGTGTAAACACTGGTTCAGTTTAGTAGAGTACTCTGTGGGTTAGAAGGAACTATACGACCAAACTCCTCAAAGTAGTTTCAATGACTTTTAGCTAAATTTTCCGCAAGTCGTTTGGTAATATCAACAAGGTTCCCAGCCGGGTGATTAGGAGGGTCACTGCCTATGGATGTGGTATTTTAGCAGCTAGCATAGACATAAAATCCATATTTTAGAGGCACCGGCGTCGGGGTGCAGGCGGGGAGATCAAACGGGACTTTACGACGCGGCCCGAGATTGTTTACATCTGTTACAGCCACCGAACCGGCGAACTTGGTAACCGCTGGCCGCTCCTACACCAACTATACTGGTAATACCAACGTACCGAGCCGACTGGATTCCACGCTTGAATTATTTTAAATATTATAATTGTTTTGAAAGACCGCCATCTTGGTTAGAAATACAAATACTGAAATGATATTCGTTGTTTGCAAATTCCGTGTCATCAATAAAATATCGCACATACGTGTTTTTCAACACGTGCATTTTAATTACCTAAACAGATGTATCTTTTAATGAACTTCGCCCTAGTTTCTATTTCGACAATCCTAACATTGTGTTTATTAATTAAATTAGTAATTCAAATATTGAATTATGCTTCGCATACAACTTTAGTCGAAAAAACTAGTGATGCGAAATATGTAATTTTTATATCCACACTAAAACAGAGACTAAATATATCCGACGCTAAGCCACGTCAAGAACGATTTATGTACTTTCATAATGTGTCTAAATGTTAGTTATTTTACTAACTACATGTTAATTAGAGCGTACGGTCATTAAGACAGCTCCATTGATCGCTTTATTAACTGGTTGCCTTTGAAGTTTACGGGCCAAGGATGTTAGTTTTTCCGCATACTGTCTTTTTATTATTGGTTGAAGTTTGGGCGCAACTGTTTGTTTACACAGACGTCTCGGTACGTTGTAACATCTAAAATAGATTTGTGGTGTGAAAACATTATGATTTCAGTTTAATTTGTTGATTGCTCGCATCACTAAATGTATCGTTTGTTTGATTCGCATGATTTCTTCACTTTGATTGTAATTTATTGGCTATCTGAATTAGCGGTAGATTTTTTGCTCGACTGAATTGCGAGTCTTGTAATTGAAAAGCAGTTTCGGTTTGATTTTATTGGTTGGATGTGATCATTGGTTGCTTAGGTAGTTACATTATTGACAATATTATCATTCTATTGATTGTACTGCCGTTAAAATATTCTGGAATAGCAAATTTTGTTACGATTAAAATATGTAGTTTCTAGAATTAAAACACAAAGCAGAGAAACAATTCGTCGCATAATTCATACTAAACAGTAATGCAACAAACTTTCAAAAAGTTTCATGAACATTGACCTTCATTTGTAACATTAATTGACTCGTATATTTAGACATTTACACGGCACACGAAAGTATAAAAGCGTGTTCTTGTAAACACCAATAACCATTTATAAGCCCCACGTCAAAACATGACGCTCCTTAATGTTAACTCCTTACACATTAAAGCAGACAATCGATGTTATTTCGAGAAAGTTCCCTAAACCAGTAATTCTGAACGCAGTGAGGATTAAACTGAGTAGGTAATTAATGTCCTAATGATTGAATGCTTTTATCTACAAAAGTCTCTGTAGAAGTTTAAACTTATCCGAGCAATTCTTCCCCACACTATTTTTATAAAATTTTGACGTTTTAATAAATGTTAGATTTTTAAATAAAACTCGTTTGAATGTGGTTGAATGCTGCGGCGCCGCAAAATCGACCTCGGCTCTGTGGACTGGCGGCGCGCCAGCTACTCGCGCACGCGCATCCAACAAACGTTTTTATAAAGAATTCAACTTTTTTATTGTTTCTCCATGATATCAGACAAATGGTGATATATTTCAATCCTTTGTGTTGGCTAATCATGTCAGTCGATAAAGTACAATTTTATTTATATTTTTAATGCTTATTTTTAGGCGCTGAAGTAAACGAACATTCTTGCGTTTATTTTAAAGTTTTAGCTTTTTCATTTAGGTAGCTGGCAGCATTGATATTGCAAAATATTGATAATATAGTAATATTACGAACAAGCAAAATATAATTCGACCTATTTTTACTCTGTATTTAATAATTATAATTTTTAATTGTTATAATGTTAAAGAGACAATTATATTACCAGCAGGCTTTGTGAGAAAAGTGACAAACAGTTTTGTGCAAATTCAATAATTAATAATTAAAAAATATCAAAAACTGTAACTGATGTAATAAATATTGTAGCAAAATATGCGTATTACTAATCAAATAATATTGTTACGTATATAGAAAACTAAAAAGAGAAACAGTAAAGGTCGAAAAAGTTTGAAAGTAACTTTTTAAAAGTTAGAAACTCACTTTGTTTAGTTCTTGGCTCTCTGGGTCCGTCAACGGTGACTTTGATAGCTTTCATGTAGGTGGCCACTTGGCTGGGGAACGTGCTGATGGTGATAGTTAGGGAGAATGACTTCCCTCGTCCACTGCGACCCACGAACCTCAGGTCGTTAAACTTCGCGACCTGGTTCTTCATCACCGCCGTACAGTTCCTCAATTCAGCCATAGAATTTTCATCATTTCCAGCCTTAATCGTGACCAGGGTGCCATCCTGCACATCATCCAGAGCCACCACCTTGAAAGCCACCGGCAGCGACTTGTTGGACCTCCAGTGGCCGGGCAGCACAGAGCACAGCACGGCTGGGGAGCCAGTCTGCACCAGGTCGCCGTGACTCTGCCGGTAGTACTCATGGATATGAGCATAAACGTCCGCCATGCTGGGGGCCGGAGGGCTCGCGTGCGGGAGGTGCATCGACTTCAGTCTACCGTCTACGAACACCGCACCGACTCTCGACACGCCACTGAAGTCCTCTATCACGGCACTGTAGTCTCTAAACACTTTGGTAAAAGTTTCAAAACACGCGATCGGTTTACAAACTCGCGGGAAGTGCGTCGCGTGCGCGCGGAGCGCTCAGAAAGTTGTGCAAAGTACGGGCGCAAGACTCCGTGTGAGCCGCGAGCAGAGAGCAGCGTCTACACCACTTGTTGGGCGCGGACGGCAAGACGCCGGGCGGGGGACTCGGAAAAATAAACGGCGGCCGGGTGACTCGCCGACACCGCAAGCCGAAGACTCACGACGCGCACCGAAGTCGTGGCGAAGGGACGCGTGCTCACGAGAACTCAGTTTCAACTGATGACTGTGATACGACGCGACTTTTTCCGATGGTCAATATTTTGCGTTCGCGCGGTCGCCGCCCCCACCCGGGTGGCGGCCCCTACGTCTCGTAAAAAGCGGGAAGGAGACGAAGGGTGCGGGTGATGCGGTGTCGCAGTGGGAACGAGCGGGACGGCCGCGGTTGGTGTCTGCGTTTTTATAAAAATGCTCGTTGGAGTGGGACGCCGGCGCTCACCGCCGCCTAGTGGGAGAGGGATGGGTGGATTTTTTTGAATCACCGCGGTGACGTATCGCGAGGCGGCGGTAATTAGGCCGCGGGGCGGCGGGAAACCGCGGCCGGCGCGAAAACCTATCAACGAGCTCATGAAAAATTATGATTTTCATGTTTGGAGTCGGCGCCGCTCGCGGGGTGGCACTTCATTTTCGCTAAAGCACGCGAGGAATTTTGATGACAGGGGTTTTGACTGACACTTTTAATCACACCTCATTTTTAACAGAATATTTTTGAAACACAAATGTGTAGAGAATATTGCAGATAAAATTTTATAACCTACTTATGATTATAAAGAATAAAATGATTATAGATTGCGTTCTGGAAAAAATATTAGAATGAAATAGGTGCATGGGTACTTAAGTTTTATGAATTTTAAAGTTTTTATAAAAATATCATTTAAAAAATTAAACGACATTATAAATCTCTTCTACTGTAGCATTCATTTTTAAATTAATTCTCGAAAAAATAATGCAATCAAAGATTTTAAGAATTAAAATAGAAGTCAAAAAATTCGTGTATAAAGTTGATACGGGCCGCGTCCGCGTGCGGTTAGCCACCGTGTTGCGGTGTGAGCGAGACGACACGAGAGGGGGCGGGGCCAGGGCGGGCCGGAAAACTTGTGACGAACTTTCGTGAGTTTCCCGCGCTTTCTGTGAACGCGACGCGCGGTAATGCACGCGTCGAACGAACAAAAGTTACGTGTCATAATGTAACAAGTAACTACATTAATTAAGTTGTATTAAATAAATTAATTTTATTGTCGTTGTGATTCTTATTTTATTCTGACTGTGTCTTATGCGTTTTAGTTTTATATTTAGGCAATAGTGTAAAACTGATGTTAAACGGTTTGGTTTGATCTTATAGTTACTAAAAATGTAACTTCGGTAAATCTCATGAATATTGAACGCACATTGCACAACCTATCTATAAAGATTGCTGACAGTTTGTATTACGTAATATTGATAAAACTTGCATTAACGATTCCTCACGGCTTCGCACTTACTACGTAAAAAATACCTCCGTGTTATTTAATTCAGACAATGATCTAGTTTTACGCAAAATTGCTGCTACAAACTGGTTTATCGGTTCTTGAGTGCAAAACTAACACAACTATCCTTAGAAACTTCTCTAAACAATGTTTTTGTTCTTCACAAATTTTACGGAGTTGTTTTAAAAATAATAATTAAAAGCAAAGGGGTAGGTAGAATTGTAGTTATTCAACCAAAATTTATTAGTTTAGCCATACTTCTTCTTATCAGTTTGTATAAACATTGACTATTGTTATCTCCAATGAGCTTGTTTACCATTTAACATCAATTCCATTGTTTTACCAAAACTTATGGTTTTTATGGCGGCGGCGGCTCCTTTGATGTTCCCGCCATTGTGCTAATATGGCGCTCTCTATTGTCTATGCTGCTGTAAAGTTTGTCTATGGTTTAAAGTTTGCGAATAAAACGATTTGTGAGGTATCGTAAAATAGGTATACTTGTTTTTTTTATTAGTGTGCACATTTTGTGGGTGGTTTTGGTTTTATAAGTAACGGTATTTAAACCTAAGTAAGTATACGATAGGTTATATAACTCCGTAAAACCGCGGTAAAGTTTTGTAACCATTTTATTACTTTTTACTCCTTTTTTTAAAATGAAATTGTGTTTTGTTGGTTTTATATTTATTTAGGAGTGTAAAGTAATTTAGTTTTATATTTTGGTGGTAATTTTTTGGTGGCCTTTGCGTTTTAGACCTGAAGAGAGATGATATATTTTTTTATAATGGTTTGTTCAATTACCCCTTTAAAACTATATTAATATCTACTTTATTATTCTGTTATACGTTTTAAAAGATAAGTAGTAGATAATTACCTAAGACCATGCACAGAAGGTTACATAAAATCAACTTAGGTAATACCTTTTACCTACCTACCACAATTTTCGCAAATTTCAGTGGAGCAATAACTGCTGTCAGATTTTTTGAAGAAATTTTATAACAAAATTTTTCTAATTTTAAATTTTGTTTGTTAATTACCTAGCTGTTACCCACGACTTCGTCCGCGTAGATTATGGTTCTTGTTTTATCCCCTGAGATCATTTAATCGGAATAAAAAGGATCGAAATAAATATCCTATCACCTAAGTCAGCCTATACCCTGTCAGTCCCTGCGTGGGCTGAGCACCGCCGTGCCCTCAGGGAAGTGATCGGCGATGGCGACCTCTCGCGTCCGGGCCTAGTGCAGGCCATGATGCGGAGCGAGGGGGACTGGGATGCCGTCTCCTCCTTTTGCGAAGCAGTCATGCTAGCTAAGGAGGAGGCGGGACGCGTGAGGCAGCGAAGCGCTGCCTCCTCGCGACCCAGCCATCGCGAAGGACACACCGGGCGTCGGGGATCGCGGGACGATCTCCGGCCACCGTAAGCGCGGGCCTGCGGACGGCGAGCATGGGTGGCTCCCCGTCCGACCAGAAACAGACCCGAGCGTACGGCGCGTCGCGTTCCGCGCGCGCCTCAAAGAGCCATCAGACCACCACAGATGGGGCCCAATAGGGCCGATGCCGATTCGGAGTCGCGGAGAACCTAACGGGTAACCGGGGCTCCGGCTCGACGTGCAGGAGAAGGAACGGGGTGGTTTTTAGTCAGTAAGAGTCTGACACTCCCTTCCGCCTCACCCAGGCGGGAGCAGTCATTCGATGATTTTCCCCCCTTAAAAAAAAAAAAAAAAAAAAAAAAATACCCTGTCTGTACCTATAACAAATTTAATCAAAATCCGTTCAGTAATTTAGCGTGATTGACGGACAGACATCCAAACAAAGAAACTTTCACCTATGTCTTATAATAATTATGCGTTTGAAATGATATCGATTACTTGCCGTGGTAAGGGTTCCCGATGCTTGAATACCGGTTAATATAGGTAAGTTAATGTAAGTAGGATACTACAAAAGATATTTTAGAACTTTTCAACATATTAGAAGTTTACTGAATAGTGAATACCTAAACAGGTATCATAAAGACTCATTAGGTATCAAGTAGTAACTAGATAGTAGGCAGGTACGTTTTTTTGAGAAATTGGCAGCCATTGGTCCAAACTACAGTTCTAGGTTTAAGTAATTTGAAATTGGAAACATTTCAAATTATCTATTTGTTTAGTAACTTCTGTTGCAACTTGGAACCTTACCGATAGAACGTTATAAAACATGATAGCTTTCAAGCTCAATATCGAAATCACGATACATATTTCATTGCACTCGATATCATAAACTTGATTTCATATTACGGAGGCGAACTTGTCAAACAATACAATATCATTCAAGTAAAAATATTTTACTCCAAATATTTTTTCTACCAGATAAAAAACACTTGAAGAATTGCGCTACCAAAAATCGATTGTAGTGCATAATCAAGTCCCAAAACAAGATGTCAAGAAAAAACATCCGTCATAAAATTTAGAAAGTTCATCGTCTAGGGCTGATGACACCGCTGTTCTCACAGGGCTGTCAAAAACATTCACTCAATTACAGCAATAAAAATAATATTGTACGCAAACATTGGACGCTTTGAAGTTCGCGCCGATAGCTACCGAGCGGTTTTGTGCAAGCGCACTGAGACCCGCAAACAATGGCCCAACACACAATACCAACTCGGCTTCTAAGACTCCCTATTATGTTGGCCCAAACATTGGCATTGGTGCATTGTGGGCCCTTTTGTTACCTATTTACCGACTTTTGGGTTGTTACATTCAAGGGGATGCTGACAGAAAGCCGCTCTGTATATTTTAGAAAAAATGTTACCAATCTCTGGAGCACGTGAATAGATCCATCGACGGCTAAATAACAAGTTAATTGAGATGTCCTATTCAAAATAGCGATTAAGCTATTCTTTGGTAAGTTAATTAGGATAGAATTATTTAATAAGTAGTTTGTTTGAGACTTGAAAGCATTCCAACAGCATTATAAAGGGATCTTATTGCCAATTTGTATTAGAAAGTATAGGAAAGAATTGTTCGGATAACAGAAACGTAAGGTATGTCATACGAAACAGAAAAATAAAGTATGTTATACGAAACAGAAACATAAGGTATGTCATACAACACAGAAACATAAGGTATGTTATACGACACAGAAACATAAGGTATGTTATACGACACAAAAATATAAGGTATGTTATACGAAACATAAACATAAGGTATGTTATACGAAACAGAAACATAAGGTATATTATACTATACAATGTTGTAATGTGTAGTGTCAGTTAGGAAGAGTACCCAGTTAGGTCACCAAAACTTTGAGGATTCTACTACCACTTCAATGTGGTTGGTCGCAATTTTACGTCCTCCCGATTTCAGCTAATAACTTTATCAGTTAGGAAATCGGTAGTAT